CCCCCCCCCCCCCCCCCCATATCTCTCTGATCTGCTACAACCATATGTCCCACCACGTTCCCTGAGGTCAGCGGACCAGTTGCTCCTCACAGTTCCAGGATCTCATCTTAAGCGCAGAGGTGACAGGGCCTTCTCTGTAGCAGGACCAAGACTTTGGAACGAATTACCTCTGCTTGTCAGACAGGCCCCCTCCCTCTCGGTTTTCAAGTACCGTTTAAAAACCCACTACTATTCGGTGGCTTTCAACACCAGATGATCTGTGTTTTGATCCTGTATGCTCCACACTGGTTTGTTGTCATTATATGCATCGTTTTTATGTCTATATTCTGATTTACCTCATTTTGTATATTGCTTTGTGTGTTACCTGTTGTTCTGTCTGTACAGCACTTTGGTTGGCCTTGTCACTGTTTTAAGTGCTTTATAAATAAAGTGGTATGGTATGGTAAAATAATCATAATGGGTGATTTCAATATTCATGTAGATGTTGAGAGTGATAGCTTAAGCATAGCCTTTAATAATTTAATAGACTCATTTGGTTTTACCCAAAACGTCCGCACATCTGCTCATTCTTATCATCACACTCTTGATTTAGTTCTGACCTATGGTGTAGACATTAAGGACTTGGTAATAATTCCTCAAACTCCTATTCTGTCTGACCATTTTTTAATAACCTTTGAGTTTACATTAAATGACTACACAGTCACTGAGAGTAAATTTCATCTCAGCAGGTGCTTATCAGAAAATGCTGTAACCAAATTTAAACAATCTCTTCCATCAATGTTTTCCTCTGTCTTGCAGAGTAATGCATCAGAGAACAGAGACTTAGATCATCTAGTTGATCATCTTACAACTTCAATGAAAACTTCACTTGATAAAATTGCTCCACTGAAAAAGAAAGTAATCAATCAGAGGAAACTGGCTCCTTGGTTCAATTCTGAGTTACGTACTTTAAAGCAGCATCTAGAAACCAGGAGAGAAAATGGCGCTCTACTAATGTTGAAGAATTTTATTTAACTTGGAAAGATAGTCTGCTAACATATAAAAAAGCTCTCCGTAAAGCTAGAACTTTATATTACTCATCTTTAATAGAGGAGAATAAAAATAACCCTAGGTTTCTGTTTAGTACTATTGCTAGACTAATTAAAAGTCCCATTTCTGTTGAACCATGTATCCCTACAACTATAAGTAGTGATGACTTCATGAGATTCTTTATAAATAAAATTATTTCAATTAGAGAGAAAATTCAAACCATCCTTCCTTCTACTATCTCTAGTCCCCTGTCAAATGAGACAACTTTAAAAATTTCACTAGAGCCTGATTTATGTTTGGACAGTTTTTGTCCTGTTGAGCTCTCTGAATCATCAATAATAGCTTCATCCAAACCATCCACATGCCTGCTAGATCCCATCCACATGCCTGCTAGATCCCATCCCAACCAGACTGTTTAAAGAGGTATTCCCCCTAATTAATGTCCACATTTTGGATCTACTTAATTTGTCTTTAATGGATGGTTATGTACCACAGCGCTTTAAAGTTGCTGTAATTAAACCTTTACTTAAGAAGTCTGATCTTGATTCAGAAATTCTGGCCAACTATAGACCTATATCTAATCTAACTTTCATCTAGAAAATTATAGAGAAACTAGTTGCAGGTCAGTTGCGTGAACATCTACAAAGAAATAATCTGTTTGAAGAGATTCAGTCAGGGTTTAGAGCTCATCATAGCACAGAAACAGCACTAGTAAAAGTCACTAATGATATTCTCATGGCCTCAGACAATGGACTTGTGTCTATACTGGTCCTGTTAGACCTCAGTGCTGCATTTGATACAGTTGATCACAATATTTTACTACAGAGACTTGAACATGATGTTGGGATTACAGGAACAGCTCTAAAATGGTTTAAATCATATCTATCTGATAGAGTCCAGTTTGTAAATGTAAATAATAAATCTTCTTCATACACCAAAGTTAGTCATGGAGTTCCTCAGGGCTCAGTGCTTGGGCCAATACTCTTTACTTTATATATTCTTCTATTAGGTAAAGTTATTAAACAGCATGGGATAAATTTCCATTGTTATGCTGATGACACACAATTGTATTTGTCCATTAAACCCAATGAATCCAATCAGCTACTTAGACTACAAGCATGTCTTAAAGACATAAAAACCTGGATGACCCTTAATTTTCTCCTTTTGAACACAGACAAAACTGAGGTTTTGGTTTTTGGACCTGAGCACCTTAGGAATTAATTTTTCAGTCTTTCTCCCTCCTTAGATGTAATAAATCTGTCCTCCAGCTCTAATGTTAAAAATGTTGGTGTAATTTTGGATCAGGACATGTCTTTTATCCCCCACATTAAAAATGTTACTAGAACTGCCTTCTTCCACCTGCGTAATATCATTAAAATTAGAAATTTCTTATCTAAAAATGATGCAGAAAAACTGGTCCATGCATTTGTCATGTCTAGACTGGACTATTGTAATGGTTTATTATCTGGATGTCCAAATACTTCCTTAAAACGTCTTCAGTTGATTCAAAATGCTGCTGCCAGAGTCTTAACTGGCGTTACTGGGAGAGATCATATCTCTCCAGTTTTAGCTTCTCTCCAGTGGCTCCCTGTCAAATCCAGAACAGAATTCAAAATCTTACTTCTAACCTACAAAGCTCTCAACAACCTGGCTCCATCTTATATTACAGATCTTATTGTTCCATATTTTCCTAACAGAGCGCTTCGCTCTCAGACTGCAGGTTTACTTGTGGTTCCTAGAGTTTACAAAAACAGAATGGGAGGCAGATCTTTCAGTTATCAGGCTCCTCTCTTGTGGAACCAACTTCCAATCTCTGTCCGTGAGGCTGACATACTGTACAGCAAATCATTAAAGTGCACTATAGACTGCAGACGTTGTTCCAATCTGCCAATCAATCTCTTGCTCTGTTCTAGCCTCATCTCTACACAAGATCTAGAGATAGTTTGACTACTTAATTTGGGGCAAAGCCTATTTCCAAAACCAGATTTGCATCTCAGTCTTTTAAGAGTAAAAACAGGGCTTATACTTGGAGGGGATCTTCATCCCAGCTTCCTTTACCCTAGGCTGCAAACCACTCTAGTTGCTGCTGGAGCATCCAGTGCAATGAGGCCAACAGGACCACATCATCTGTAAAAAGTAGCAATGTAGTTCAAAGCCCATTTCAAACTTGAGATCCTCCACCCTGAAATTCTGTACTTTAACAATGTGAACAGACTTTGTAACAAACTCATAAACGTTCAATACAAAAACAACTGGACTTTATTTGCAACAGAATACATTTCAGTCCTCATCCGAGGAGCTTTCTCAATTCAAAGAGCAGTGAGTGAGGGATTCAGGTTATAAGGCTGAGTGAGATACACCTGAACCGCTCACTCTCTGCTCTTTGAATTGAGAAAGCTCCTCGGCTGAGGAGTGAAACGTCTTCTGTTACAAATAAAGTCCAGTTGTTTTTGTATTGAACATTTTTGAATTCATCATGTCCTGGATGACTGAGAAGCTTCACCAGCATTTTGTAACAAACTGCAACTTTATCAGAGTCCAATACTAAAACACTTACTGAACGCTTAGGCAAAGCAAAGATAACTCTTACTTTAGTTGTACAGGAACTGAATGGCCCTTTGGAGGGTTGTAACTGCATACTCCCGAAGTACCCTTACAAGAAACCACTTGGAACATGGTGGTAAGTCTTCTCCAAGTCAACAAAACACATTAAGACTGGTCGGGCAAACCTCCATGCCCCCTCAGATATACTTACAAGGGTAAAATAGTGGTCCAATGTTTCACAACCAGGGAAAAACAAAACACCTTTTGAAGCAAGTTTAGCATGTTTTATTCTCTACTAAGTTATATTTGTATGTACTAACTAAGTGTCACAAAGACTACGGGTGAATCAAGTCTGTTCTAGTGCAGTTCCTCTCTCTTCCTGTTTGGCAACTTACACATATCAAGTGTGAGCAGAACACTGTCCACCATCACACATGCTGTGCTGGGGTGGAGTCTCTGTTGGTGTTTTAAACTTGGGCATCAGCTTTCTAAATGTTTGCTGTCAAAAAGGCAACCTTGTCAGCATAAAGTGGATTCAATTATATATCCCCTGAAATCCAGAGTTATGTTTTGGTTAAATCATAGCAGTACATTACATTTGTTGTAAATCACTGAAATACATCAGATCAAAATGTGCCAGTAACTTACAAAGATAGAGAAGAATACAAATTTAAACAAGAACAGTCTATATTTATTAAATACAAATAAAAAATACATGTTGTTACAGGTGGAATATTTTTTTCAAGTTTTAATTATAGCAACACAAAAACAAAGCTCACCTTAGTTCCTAGAGTTCCAGGTTCACCTCTGTGGCCTTTAAAGCCCTGGGACGGAAGATGAAGCAACAAGTTAGCTGCTGTTAGCGAGTGGAAGTTTTTTCTATCATATTTGATTACTGGTGCTGACTTACTTGGGGACCCCTGAGTCCAGGGTTTCCTGGAGGTCCAGGTTCACCTTGCTTGCCCTACAAAACAACAGAGATGGGTAAAGTTGTGCATAACGTCGGTGCATATTAACAAATCAAATATAGACAGATGGTATGCCAATGTCCCCCATCACTGAAGAATTTGAATGTTGAATGTTTGTAGTTTTTTAGCTGAGTGTTTTTCTGTACTGGAGTTGAACGGGGAATGCAAGTAAACCTTAATATTTATGGTCCAAGTTATTAATCTGTATAGGAGTTAAACTATGTAGAAGAACAGAAGTATTCTTTCTCCTTTTTCGAGGCAGCGCAGAGTGATGGACACTGGAAAAGGGGGGAGCAATTTTATCTACCACCAGGTGCAATGGTGGAGTCAGAGTGGTGTCCTTAGCCACCATGGATTAATCTTCAGTTACTCCAAAGGCCACACCAATCACTTGAGGAAATTATACTTTTAGGCAATAAAAAAATTGAAAGCATAGATTCCTGAGCGACACGATAGCACAGTTGGTAGACCTGTTGGCTCTCAGCTAAAAGGTTGATGGATCAAATCCCAATTGAGGACCTTTCTGGGTGGAGTTTACATGTTCTGTCATGTTTCGTTTACGCGTGGGTTTTCTTCGGGTACTCCAGTTTTCTCCCACAGTCCAAAAACATACATGTTAAGCTGATTGGTGACTCTAAAATGTCCCTAGGTGTGAGTGAGAGAGTGAATGATTGTCTCATTTGTCTCTATGTGTCCCTTTGATGGACTGGAGACCTGTCCACGGTGTCCCCAGTCTCTCACACAGTGATGGCTGGACATGGGCACCAGTGACCCCTGCAACCCGAACAGGAAGAAGCGAGTAAAGATAATGGATTAATGAATGGCATAGAGTCTTCAAATATTAGGGGTAGTTGGTTTACATACATACCTGGCAGTAACCATCTTGGATTTTAAAGTGGCAAACAATTTTTCGATAATTACCTTTTTTAAACCTAGATGCAGCTACACACCAAAAATGGAAGTCGGCACCTCACATATTGTTAGTTATCATGTTCACAACACGCTGGTATCCATGAAGACAGTCATCTTGGATTTTTATGACAATCCACAGGATCGATCGAAAGGAACTTTTCTTATGCCCAAATGCAGCCACACACCAAAATAGGAGTTGGTATCAAACTTATTTTTCTAGTTATCATGCTCACAACATGCATGGATGGACAGAGTATTTTCAATTCAATTTTGAGTTCTGGAATTGCGCCGCTCAAGGTGGCTGCATGTTGGAGCAGCTCTGTTACATTCATTCTGAGATTTTGCTTTTGGAAACTTTAATACCTCTTTTGCTGGATGTAAATCACATTTTTGGATGATTGTTTCCTCTGGTATCAGATGCTGTGCAGCAGGAAGGATTTTTACTGAAACTTTTTTAGTTTTGGACATTTGTTATGATGCATAACCATGGCAACAAGGCAGTTTTCTACAACCAACAGCAGCTGATTAACATCTCAAAAGCTCAAATAATATCTCAACTACAGCCCAAAATCTCAAATGACTTGAAAGGATGTTCTGTGGACACATTCTCATCTACCTGCCAGCTGTACTCGAGTGCCTTATCACTGAGATCCTGGAACTAGCAGGAAACACGGCTCAAGACAGCAGAAGGACAGGATCGTCCCTCGGCACCTACAGTTGGCTGTCCGCAGTGACAAGGAGCTCGGCAGACTGCTGAGAGGAGTGGCCATCGCTCTAGGAGGAGTTCTGCCCGGCATTCGGGCGGTCCTACAGCCCGGGGGAACCGAGAGGCCAGTCGAGTCTGGGTGAACGGATCGGACGGCATCTGCAGCCAGTTTCTTAGGATCCACTGTGGGATGGACCTTTACAAGAGATCCTTCCTGTCTACAGCCATCGGTATCTATAACATCACTTAATGAAATGAGGATAACAAGTTACAACAACAAATATTTTCCCTTTGGGATTAATAAAGTATTTTTGAATTGAATTGAATTCTCTCTCTTTGCTCCGCGACTGGGGAAAATAAAGGCAAACCATGACTCACAGATCCTTAAACCAGATGTTCTTTGGATCAGCTCTGTTTACTTACAGGTTCTCCTGCTTCTCCTGGTCTGCCATCTTTGCCCATTTTTCCAGGTTGGCCCTGCACAGACAGTAAAATGATTATTTAGCAACTGCAAAAATAATTTAAAAATGTTCACAGATATTGTTACTCATCAAAACTTGTTCTTACTATCAAGCCAGGAAGCCCAGGTGGTCCTTGGATTCCTTTAAGTCCCTCTTTGCCCTGCAGAAAGAAAGAGAATGAGAAAACTGACCATGGTGACCAAAGCAAATAAATGATTAATAGCTGATATTACAGCACACACTCACTGACCTACATGCTGTAGGGAGTGGTTTAAACAATAATGACTTTTGGGTAACAAGTTTTCTAAGGGGAAAACACACTTATTGCAGTCTAACCTTTTCTCCAGTGGGCCCTGTGGGGCCAACAGGACCTGGTTGTCCATCATTACCCTGAAGAGGAAAGAAGCAGTGTCAGTGAAGAACAACAGAATCAGAAAACCTGACTCTGGGACCAAACAAAGAGATTAAATACTTGGACCCTCTGAAGTGTATTTTCAGTAAAGATATTGTTCAACATACAGGCGCGCCCATTAATCCAGGAGGACCCTGACGACCAGGTGGTCCTTGGTGACCCTGTAAAACACGTAGCAGTGATTAAAATACAGCAGGCACAATACAGGGAGAGCAAAGAGGAAACAAGGACCCAGTAAAGATAAATCTACCTTGTCTCCTTTCTCTCCAGGGCTTCCAGGAGGTCCTTGATCCCCTTTTACACCCTGTGGTGACAGAGGAGAAAGGATTAAAGAAATCATGTATCATTTGTAAAAGGAAAAAAAGAATCTCTATGCTTCACAAAAAGATGACACAACTATATCATTTAAAATATAAAACTAACAAACAAAAGGACATTGACAGAGAGAACTAATTGATCTAACTTAATCTAAGTTAAGTGTAAATGTACTTTAGTTCCATCGGTTCCAGGGGCCCCTGCAGGTCCGGTTGGTCCAGGCGGGCCCTGTAATGGTGCAGCAAACAGTAATTTTCTGCCTGGGCAGACAGTTCTGAGCATCATCATCCAGTTCAAATAATTCTCTACTGCCACCAAAGGTCCAGCTAATGATGCAGTCAGAACCTCACCATGTGCCACAAAAGCTGTGACTGATGGAGACAAAACTCAAACCTCATTCATTATAAAGTGAACACAAACTTTATACACTTTTCTTAAAGACATGAAGGCTTACTGTAAAACATTAAATCACAAGAGGAGAGCAGTTTAAAATACAGAGATGTTAATGACTTTGTCTTACTTGATAGCCATCTTCTCCATTTTTTCCAGGAGGTCCATTTTGTCCTTTATCTCCAGGGACTCCTGGGAGTCCAGGTGGTCCAGGTGGACCTGCAGGGCAGTCTGAGCAGACGTCCTAAAGACAGCAGACACCTTAATGAAAATGTGGTCAGTATTTTACTCTGTGATGAATAGGAGAGCCACCTTACCTTCAGATTCAGGTCAGAAAGATCTGCTGCCTTTCCCTGAGAGACAGTAAAAGATGACGTCCATCAACAAGCACATTTTGGAGCTGAATTCACTTCAATATTGTTGATATTTTGTCCAGAAATAGGTTTTACAAATGAGGCAAATTAATATTTATCTGTAATAAACGGAATGACATGATGCTGATATGTTGCAGACCTGAACTTAAAGGATTCAAGGTTATTTATTGTCATACACACCACATGTGGTACATGTGATGGAATGAAAATGTGTACACAGGGTCCCAGTTACATTCACCAAAAGTATTAAAATGTAAAATAAACAGTAATAAGATCTAAGATATGAACTAAGATAAACATCAACTAAAAATACACTAAGCACTAGTAGTACAAAAACAATGCACCGAACAGCAGCACGAACATGAGTCTGTGTGAACAAAAGAGTACAAATGAACACAGCAACATGAAAAAGATCAGCAGCAACATGAAACAGAACAGCAGCAACATTAAAAGAATGTTCGAAGTTAAAAGAACTTTGGAACCAATACTGTCTATGTCAGAAATCATGTACTCTGTTTATCCTTCATGTTGTATGGCAAGCTTCCTTTTTCAATCTCTTAACTGTGTCACAGAAGTAACAGGTCCAGGAGAGAAACCCAGATATTCCTCTCCCCAGAGACACTTTCCAGCTCCTTCTGGGGGAACCCAAGGCATTCCCAGGCCAGAGAAGATATATAATCCCTTAGGGTCTGCCACCAGGCCTCTTTCCAGTGGGACATGCCCAGAAAACCCCCAACGGGAGCTATCCAGGAGGCATCCTAGTCAGATATCAGAACCACCTAAACTGATTCACTTTAATGCAAAGAAGCAGCAGCAATCCATCCATCTCCTGCTCCATTCTACCATCACTTATGAACAAGACATCCAGATACTTAAGCTCCTCTACCTGAGGCAAAGATTCTCCTGCCTTGACCCAAGGGGGGGGGGGGGGGGGGGGGCACTCCACCTGCTTCCAGTTGAGAACCATGGCCTCAAATTTAGAGGAACCGACTCTCATCCTAGCCTCTTTACACTTGAATGCAAACCCTCCCAGTGCAGGCTAAAGATCTTGGCCTGAAGACGCCAGTGGAACCAGATCATCTGCATCAAGCAGAGATGAGACCCTGAGGTTACCAAACCAGATGCTCTCCTCTCTACAAGTGCACCTTAAGACCTTGTGCATGAACACCCAAAATAGGATCAGAGTCAAGGAACAGTCCTGGCAGAGTTCAACCTTCTCCAAGTATGAGCTTGACTTTGTGCCAAGAATGTGGACACAACTCCTGCTTTGGTTATCCAGGGACCAGATAGTCCTTAAAAGCAATCCTGATACTCTCACAGCATTCTCCACAGAATGCCTTGAAAGCATGGTCTTAAGCCTTCTCCAGGTCCACAAAGTACAGGTAGACTGGAGAGGCAAACTCCCATGACCCCTTAGACACTCCACAAGGGTGAAGATCTGAATCACTGTTCCTCGACCCAGGTGAAACCCACACTGCTTCTCCTGAATACGAGGTTCATCTATCGGTCAGAGCCTCCCTTCCAACACGCTGGAGTCAACTCAAAAGATTGTGCCACAAAATTTTAACCCTCCTGTTTTCCTTGGGTCAAAATGCCCCCCCTAAGAAATCTGTTTTAAATGGTCTTCATTTTTAATCATGGAAAGCAGGAGGATTAAATTAATATTATCTATTATTATTATTATTATTATTATTATTATTATTATTATTAATTTTTTTTTTCCAAGGTCAGTCTACTAAACCAAACCTCAGAAGCAATATCTGATTTATAAAATTGACGTTTTCATTATGAAACACCCTCCCAATCTCTGTCTCAGCTAATATGCAGTTTTGGTCAGTGCATCAAAGTAAATGCTGACTGGTATTAAATTGTATTTTTAACCTGTTCTAACAATTTATTTATACAGATAAACTAGTTAAAATTATTAGACAACATGAGATAAGATAAGAAATAGACTTGATGTTCCCTCGCCCAGATGTGGGTCACCGGGGCCCCACTCTGGAGCCAGGCCTAAAGGTGGGGCACGCGGGCGAGCGCCTGGTGGCCGGGCTTTTACCCATGGAGCTCGGCTGGGCACAGCCCGAAGAGGAGACGTGGGTCCCCCTTCCCATGGGCTCACCACCTGTGGGAGGGGCCAAAGGGGTCAGGTGAAATGTGGGATGGGTGGTGGCTGAGGGCGGGGACCCTGGCGGTCTGATCCTCGGCTACAGAAGCTGGCTAGTGGGATGTGGAATGCCACTTCACTGGTGGGGAAGGAGCCTGAGCTGGTGTGTGAGGTTGAGAGGTTCAGGCTAGAAATAGTCGGACTCACCTCTACGCATGGCTCTGGCTCTGGAACCAGTTTCCTTGAGAGGGGCTGGACACTCTTCCACTCTGGAGTTGCCCCGATGAGAGGCGCCGAGCAGGAGTGGGCATACTTATTGCCCCCCATCTTGGTGCCTGTGTGTTGGGGTTCACCCTGGTGAATGAGAGGGTGGCCTCCCTTCGCCTACATGTGGGGGGACGGGTTCTGACTGTCATTTATGCTTAAGCACCAAACGGCAGTTCAGATTATCCACCCTTTTTGGAGTACTTGGAGGGGGTACTGGAAAGGGCACCTCCTGGGGACTCCCTTGTTCTGCTGGGGGACTTCAATGCTCACGTGGGCAATGACAGTGAGACCTGGAGGGGTGTGGTTGGGAGGAACGGCCCGCCTGATCTGAACCCGAGTGGTGTTCTTTTGTTGGACTTCAGTGCTCATCATGGATTGTCAATAATGAACACCTTGTTCAAGCATAAGGGTGTCCATATGTGCTCTTGGCACCAGGACACCCTAGGCCGCAGTTCGATGATCAATTTTGTCATCGTCTCATCTGATCTGCGGCCACATGTCTTGGACACTCAGGTGAACAGAGGGGCGGAGCTGTCCACTGATCACTACCTGGTGGTGAGTTGGCTCCGATGGTGGGAGTGGATGCCGGTCAGACCTGGCAGACCCAAACGTATTGTGAGGGTTTGCTGGGAACGTCTGGCAGAGTCTCCTGTGAGACGAAGTTTTAATTCCCACCTCTGGGAGAACTTTGAACATGTTCCAGGGGATGTGGGGGACATTGAGTCCAAGTGGACCATGTTCCGTGCCTCTATTGTTGAGGTGGCTTACCGGAGCTGCAGCTGCAAGTTTGTCAGTGCCTGTCGTGGCAGCAACCCTCAAACCCGGTGGTGGACACCGTCGATGAGGGATGCTGTCAGGCTGAAGAAGGAGTCCTATCGGGCCTTTTTGGCCTGTGGGACCCCGGAAGCAGCTGATGGGTACCGGCAGTCCAAGTGACATGCGGCTCGGGTGGTCATTGAGGCAAAAACTCGGGCGTGGGAGGAGTTCGGGGAGGACATGGAGAATGACTTCTGCACAGCTTCGAGGAGATTCTGGTCCACCACCCACACTGTTTATAGTGGGGGTGGTGTGCTGCTGACCTCAACTCGGGATGTCATGGGTCGGTGGGCAGAAAACTTTGAAGACATCCTCAATCCCACCGGCATGTCTTCCACTGAGGAAGCGGAGCCTGGGGACTCTGGGTCGGGCCCTTCAATCTCTGGTGCTGAGGTCACCGAGGTGGTTAAAAAGCTCCTCGGTGGCAGGGCCCCAGGGGTGGATGAGATTCGCCCAGAGTTCCTTAAGGCTCTGGATGTTGTAGGGTTGTGTTGGCTTACGTGACTCTGCAATATTGCGTGGACATCGGGGGAAGTTCCCCTGGATTGGCAGACCAGGGTGGTGGTACCCCTATTCAAAAAGGGGGACCATAGAGTGTGTTCCAACTACAGGGGGATCACGCTCTTATGCCTCCCTGGTAAGGTCTATTTGGGGGTTCTGGTGAGGAGGGTCCGTCGGATAGTCAAACCTCAAATTCATGAGGAGCAGTGCGGTTTTCGTCCTGGTCGTGGAACACTGGACCAGCTCTACACTCTCAGCAGGGTCCTGGAGGGTGAGTGGGAGTTTGCCCAACCGGTCTACATGTACTTTGTGGACTTGGAGAAGACGTTCGACCACGTCCCTTGGGGAACCCTGTGGGAGGTACTCTGGGAGTATGGGGTACCGGGCCCTTTTGAAACGGGCTGTTAGGTCCCTGTATGACCAGTGTCAGAGCCTGGTCTGCATTGCCGGCAGTAAGTTGGGCTTGTTCCCGGTGAGAGTTGGACTCCGCCAAGGTTGCCCTTTGTCACCGATTCTGTTCATAACTTTTATGGACAGAATTTCTAGGTGCGGCCAAGGTGTTGAAGGGATTCGTTTTCGTGGCCTTAGGATTGCGTCTCTGCTTTTTGCAGATGACGTGGTCCTGTTGGCTTCATCAGATCGTGATCTACAGCTTTTGCTGGAGCAGTTCGCAGCCGAGTGCAATACGGCCAGGATGAAGATCAGTTCCTCCAAATCTGAGGCCATGGTCTTGAGCCGGAAAAAGGTAGAGTGCCCTCTCCAGCTCAGGGAGGAGGTCCTGCCCCAAGTGAAGGAGTTCAAGTATCTTGGGGTCTTGTTCACAAATGAGGGAAAAATGGAACATGAGATTGATAGGCGGATAGGTGCAGCGTCTGCAGTGAAGCGGGCGCTGTACAGGTCTGTTGTGGTGAAGAGAGAGCTGAGTCAAAAGTCGAAGCTCTCGATTTACCGATCAGTCTACGTTCCTACCCTCATCTATGGTCACGAGCTTTGGGTTGTGACCGAAAGAATGAGATCTCGGATCCAAGCGGCCGAAATGAGTTTTCTCCGCAGGGTGTCTGGGCTCTCCCTTAGAGATAGGGTGAGAAGCTCGATCATCTGGGAGGGACTCAGAGTAGAGCCACTGCTTCTCCACGTCGAGAGGAGCCAGTTGAGGTGGCTTGGGCATCTGTTTAGGATGCCTCCTGGACGCCTCCCTGGTGAGGTGTTCCAGACACGTCCCACCGGGAGGAGACCCAGAGGAAGACCCAGGACATGCTAGAGGGACTATGTTTCTCAGCTGGCCTGGGAATGCCTTGGGATTCTCCCGGAGGAGCTGGCCCAAGTGGCTGGGGAGAGGGAAGTCTGGGCCTCCCAACTTAGGCTGCTACCCCCGTGACCCGACCCTGGATAAGCGGAAGAAAATGGATAGATGGATGGGATAAGATTTTTTGTGTTATGCAAATGAAACTCATTTATATCCAATAAAGAAGTCGGGTAAATACAAATACTTCAATTTACTTTAATTGTAAACTTGTCTTAGATACATTTAAACCTGGATGACACTGACTTTCGCTTTTAAATTTTGATAAGCCATAGGTTGTGGTTTTTGGACCAGAGAATCTTAGGAACAATCTGAGATGAAACAAAAACTAGTCGTGTAAGTCCAACAATTTTCAGTCAGGTCATCTGGACAGTTTCTTTTCTTGCTGAAACGTTTCACCTTCCTTCCATCCAGAAGGCTTCATCAGTCAAGGAAACACACAACACAAAAAACTTATTCTTCCCCCAAACAGCTTACTCCAAAGTGGAACAAACCAGTTATGTTGGTGCTAAGATGGTGTCTTTGGCATGCCCCCTCTTCCGATACCGGCCCTCTTCCTCGCCGAGGATCCAGGTTTTGAACCAGTTTGACATGAATGTCGACGAGGAATAATTTTTTACTCATGTTTATGCAATGTGCTTAAGTTTATAGTGGTGGGTGTTCAACCATCACTGTACTGTGTACTATTGTACCAACAATTGTACAGTATAGTACTATTGTACCAACTATTGTACTGTATTGTACAATTGTACCAACTATTGTACAGTATAGTACTATTGTACCAACTAGTGTACAGTATTGTACAAGTGTACCAACTATTGTACAGTATAGTACTATTGTACCAACTATTGTACAGTATTGTACAATTGTACCAATTGTATTGAAGGTTTAAAACATGGACTTGAAACCGAGCTGGATGAACTGCAGCTGTTCATAGTTCAACCAACAAATGAAGGAGAAGTCATATAGAAAACAGTTTGACAGTATCTTTGGTTGTACTCACAGGTTCTCCAGGTGATCCTTTTTCTCCTGGCCTTCCTGGTAAACCCTGAGTATGGAGCAAAAAATTTAAAAAATAATTAGATTTTCTCTTTGGAAAAAAATAAATAAATAACTCAATTCCTGCTCCCGGTGAACAAACATAAAACCCAAAAAGTTTTCTAAAGTTCCATCCTTTTATTTTATTGAGGAATTATTTTCTTTTCCTGCTTCTCCTTTCTGTTTCGCAAGGAACTGGTCCATCACAGGAACACCAAGGCATGCGCGGTGACAACATGCAAGCTCAACACAGAAAGGCTCCAGGGCCAGGAGGCGATCCTTTCTCAGTACAAGGTGACTGCTCTAACCACTGCACCACCATGATGCCATTGTCCAACATTAAATTATCAAATAGAACCAAAAGGACCTTTTCATAGAACTGGTTTATGCTTTAAACTTACATTGTGCCCTGCTGGACCTTGAGGACCAGGAAGTCCTGGTGGACCCTTCAAACCCTGAAACCCAGATAGTCACAATGAAGAAACAGCTGCAGAACTAAAGACGTGTTGTGTGGCAATAATTACCGCAGCTCCTGGAGCCCCATGTTTTCCTGGCGGCCCCTGTAAAGACAGACACGTTAAATGGAGCTAGGTCTAATGACATGGATCAGTTTGTCTAGAAGTGTTCATACCGGTGCTCCCTCTTTCCCCTCTCCTGGCTGGCCACGCTCTCCTGGAACCCCAATTTGTCCACGTGGCCCCTGCTGGCCCTGGACAGAATAAAAAAGAAGAAGTTCTTTATCCTTTAGGTAAGTTGAGTTATTTGGAACAGAATCTGGCTCAGTTTTATCAGCCATAGCTAATAGTTGAGAGTAAAAACTCCATATTTTTTTATGGGATCTAAGATGTGATCTGAGAAGATAGACCAGAGACAAAGGTCTGACACGTCAGTGAATGTTTACTGACATGAAGATCCTGGCAGTTAAATGGGCTGAAACAGAGTAGAGGTCATACCGAGGAGGACACAGAATGTTTTATTTTCCTCATCTGAGATAGAAAGAAGTCTTTCAAAGCAACAACCAAACATCAAAACATAATTTATATGAAAATAAACAATTGTCAAATAATAAAAAGTATAGCACCTTTGCTCCAGGTTGGCCTTGAATCCCTGGTGGTCCTGGTTCTCCCTGTAACCCAACAAATGAAACCAGTCAAAATGTTTGTCACTAGTTAGTCCTGGGCTGAGAAGAACTCCTCAAGGATGGTTGAGATTGTGGCGAGGCCTCTGGACCACACCTGGCTGCTGGGAAACAACAGAATGTGGGCCGGGTTTGTTTGACTGTGTTGTGCTGGAACAATGTCTCCAGCCTGCACCGCCTCGTCAGCATGACGGCCACATGCAACATGCTGGAGGAACATGTTGAGTCCAACAACAAAATGTGTTAACTCGAGCTTCAGCTGCTCCTTTCAGCTGGTGCTTCAGCATGTACTGCCATGGTTATGAGCACAGAACATGTGCACTCAGAAAAACAGAGCAAACCAGAGCCGTGAACATGTATTATCACAGCTTGTAATGAAACTGCTGCCATACTTGCTTTCATTGGTAAAAGGAGGGAATAAAATGGAATGTCCAACCTTATATTTACAGTTTTAATGTATTTTCAACATACTGTAGTTCATATTGAAAGGTCTGATAAGAAATATAAAGACAAATTATGAGTACTTAGTAAACTATTTGGTGTAATCCTTGAGCTAGGTGGGTAATTTCTGAAAATACGTCTTTATATAAAAATACTTTAAAACCAAAAATTTTTATAGTAATGAGAAATACACAGATGAAAAAAACAACAACACATAAATGCTTCCATTTTGATGTATAATTTGTGGATGTAAGAAAAGGAAATATTTGTTTGAAAACGTCTCCACATTAAAAGTTAGTCCAGAACTGTCAGTAGACTTTTCTTTTTTTTTTTTTGCAATACTTTATTTAAGAGTTTTTAAGTTTGTAAAACATTAACAGAACATAAAAAAAGAGAAAAACATGTCAATATCCCTACCTGACACACCCCAAAGTGGAAGGAAAAATAAATAAATAAATAAATAAAATCAGGAGAGCAAAACAGTAGCGACTGGATTAACAGTGAAATGTGGCAACCTTTTAACATGACACATGACTATGCAGAATCTAATCAAGGCACTGGCATGGTGCCCACATATGTCAGATAAGGCTGCCAGATTTTAACAAAAGTTTTATAATCACTTCTAAGAGAGTAGGTGATCTTTTCGAGTGGAGCACAGTTATTCATCTCTAAGAACCATCTTAAAATAGGGAGTTGGGAGTCAGACTTCCACGTAATGACTATACATTTTCTGGCAACACATAGAGCCAATTCCAGGAACTTCTGTTGACTAACTGTGTACCCAGATTTGTAAAGTCTCCTAATAAGCACATTTGTGGATCAAATGTTAATGAAAATCCCAAAAGTTTTGACATAATATCAGAAAAGTCATGCCAGAACGTGTTTACCTTTATGCAATTCCATGTGCTATGCAGAAATGAACCCTCTTCAATGCCACATCTAAAACATAAATGGGATAACTCTGGTTTGTATTTATGTAATTTTTGTGGTGTAATATGTTTGATGGAGGAAATTATATTGAGTCAACCTATATCTACAATTAATGGTTGCATTTATACACCTCTGACATAATTCAGACCATAGTTCTGCATCAATTGCTACATGTAAGTCGGTCTCCCATCTCTCCCTTGATCTATGTAGCCCCGGCTTTAAAGCAGTACACATTAAGACAGAGTACACCCTTGAAACAAAACGAGGTGAGTTCCCTTCATAAAGTATTTTCTCCAGGTTGTTTAAAGGCGGTAGGGCCATATTTGGACCCAAACAAGTTTTAAGGAAGGATCTCAGCTGGAGATAGAATAAAAAGTTCCTACTGGGTAGATCATAGTTCTTCCTCATGTCCTCAAAGGACATCACAGATCCGTTTTCATAGCAGTCCTCCAAGCAGTGAACCCCTCTCTGATGCCATTGTTCAGGAACCCTGCTATCCAGCGAGGTAGGTATGAGTCCATTCTGTTTCAAGGGTGTACGGGGTGAAACAATGTTCTTTACTCCAAAAGCTTTGCGAGCTTTGTGCCATATTTTAATCAAATGAATTGAAACAGGGTTATCCGTTTTGTTAGAAATACTCGTACGGGTCCATTTATAGACGAAGTCCGCAGGTGAACTTTCTTTAACATCATGCAGACCCACATAAATCCAGGATGGTATATTTTCTTTCTCAAAGTAAAATGCAATACATTTCATTTGAGCCGCTAAATAATACTTTTCAAGATTGGGTAACTTAAGCCCACAAAATTTATAATCCCAAGTAAGTTTTTCTAATGAAATCCTTGGGGGTTTACCATTCCATATGAATGTTCTGATATGTTTATTGAGATCAGTAGACTTTTCGATGGTAATCAATCAACTTACGCTGTGACTGTGTGAAAAATGTTGAAGATGTTAAAATGTCAGAGCAGTCATGTAAAATCCAACTTTCTGTGACTCGTACAAACGTTCACTAATGTTTCTAGTCTGAAGACTGTCCGAGCTCCAAACAGACTGTCTGCTCATGTGATTCACTTTTAGAAAGCTAAAAGCAGCAAAAGGCTATCAAAGGCTAAAGGTAACAAAGAGTTAGCTAAAGGTTAAAATCTAGTTAAAGCTAAAGTTCAAGCTAGTTAAATAGTTCAAAAGATTAGCTAGAAGCTAAAAAGAGCTTGTAGGTAGATTAAATGCTAAAAGAGGCAAAAGACTAGCTAAAAGCTATAATTGTCAAAAGTTTAGAAGCTAAAAGTAGCAGAACAGTAGCTAAAAGCTGATGTCATGAGACAAAAAGACAAAAGTGGGCTGACGTAGATTTAAATAAAGTAAAAAAATTTAAATATAAAAGTTACAAAAACTAAAAGTCATAGAACTCTTCTCCTGAACGAGTTGGATGTTTGATAAATGAATGGCTCAAATAGCGTAAAGTATACAGACGTAAAAAAAAAAAAAAATACAATAATAATAATAATAATGCATTTTATTTGTCAGCGCCTTTCAAAACACCCAAGGACACGTCACAGCATTAAAAACACAGTATTAAACAATATAAAATAACTATTAAAAACACTAAACCAAAAAGAAAATAACATTTAACAGTTAAAGTGAAAAGGCTAGCTTGAACAGATGAGTTGATTGAAGGTCAGAAGGCAGTCAATGTTACGGATGTCCAGGGGAAGAGCCTTCCAGAGCTGGGGAGCAGAGTGAGAAAAGGCTCTGTGTCCCATGGTGCTGAGGCGGACAAGAGGCACGTTAAGGTGGATGGAAGTGGAAGAACGAAGGGAGCGTGAATGGGTGGTAATGTGCAGGAGATCTAACAGGTAAGGAGGGGCGAGGTTGTGGATGGCTTTGAAAGTGAACAACAAGATTTTAAATTGAATTCTGAATGTGACTGGAAGCCAGTGAAGTTGCTGTAAAACTGGGGTGATGTGGTTAAATGAGGGGGTTTTGGTGACAATGCGGGCAGCTGAATTTTGAACCATTTGAAGCTTACGGATTAATATGTGAGGCAGACCAAAGAGGAGAGAGTTACAGTAATCGATTCGAGAAATGACCAGACTGTGGACCAGGATGGAAGCAGAGTGTGGAGAGAGGGATGGATGAAGATGGTTGATATTTCGAAGGAGGAAATATGCAGACCGGGTAATACTATTGATGTGAGAGTGGAAAGAGAGAGTGCTGTCAAGAATGACACCCAGACTCTTGACGTGAGGGGAGGGAGAAACTAAGGAGTTGTTGATGGTGAGTGAGAAACTGTTAACTTTAGATAAGGTGGATTTAGTGCCAATGAGTAGAAACTCTGTTTTATCACTGTTTAATTTCAGGAAGTTAGACGTGAACCAGGATTTAATTTCAGCTAAGCAGGAAGTGAGGGAGGAGGGAGGAAGTGAAGAGTTAGGTGCAGTGGATAAAAAGAGCTGGGTGTCATCGGCAAACAGTGGAAATGGATGTTAAATTTATGAAAGATATTACCAAGGGGGAGAAGGTAGATGATGAAAAGAAGGGGCCCCAGGACAGAGCCTTGGGGCACACCTGAAGTCACAGGAGAGGAATGGGATCTGAATGATTTCAGTTGGATGAACTGAGTGCGGCCAGAGAGCTAAGACTGAAACCAAGCGAGGGGTGTGTGGGTGATGCCAATGGATGAAAGTCTGTGGAGGAGGATGTTGTGGGAGATGGTATCAAAAGCTGCACTGAGATCGACGAGGATGAGGAGAGAAAGTAATCCAGAATCTGCTGCCATGAGAAGAGAGTTGGTGATAGTGAGGAGAGCAGATTCTGTGCTATGACCGGGGAGGAAACCAGACTGGAACTGTTCATATAGACTGTTATCGGTTAAATGAAGGTGGAGTTGAGAGGCAACTGTTTTTTCCAGAATTTTGGAGATGAATGGAAGGTTAGAAATAGGACGGAGATTATTGAAAGTATTGGAATCCAATCCAGGTTTTTTAAGGATTGGAGTGATAACTGCAGTTTTGAAAATAACTGGGACAGTTCCAGAGGAAAGAGAAGAGTGAATTATGGCAGAAATGAACGGAAGAAGTGACAAAATGCAAGATTTAACAAGCGCTGTAGGGAGAGGATCCAGTGAGCATGTAGAAGGCTTGGATTTATGGATAAGTTCGGCTATTTCAGAGGCAGGAGGAAGCTGAAAGACAGAAAAAGGTTGACTAGGCGGATAAGGTTCAGAGGAGGAAGAAAGAGGAGAGACAGGACAAAGTTGCTGATGAATTTTACTGATTTTATCGTTAAAAAAGAACATGAGAGAATTACATGTGTTGTCTGAGTAGAAGTGAGAGGGAAGAGAGTCAGGGGGGTGAAAAGTATTGTTGAGCAATGAAAACAGGATCTTTGTGTTACCTTTGTTAGAGGAAATGAGGCCAGAGTAATAAGAATGTTTAGTTAGTGAGATCAAGTTCTTGTAGTGTGATGTATGAGAAATGTACATGTCCCTGTGGATGGTAAGACCGGATTTTTTATAGTCGTTCAAGTTGACGACATTTGGCTTTGATGGTCCGAAGTTCAGAAGTAAACCAGGGGTCAGAATGAGTAAAGGTAACAGATCGAGTTCTAACAGGAGCAAGGGAGTTGAGAATGTGGGTTAAGTGATGATTGTATTGAACAGTGAGTTGATCCGGAGTCAGAAGATGATCAGGGATCAGAGTGGAGGAAATATCAGTGGAAATCCAAACAAGAACATATATAATAAACTAGAACAACAGGAAAATGCTGAGTCAGCATTTTGACTCACACGAAGAGTAGACACTTCAAAGTTACTGCACTGGTGCTGTTGATGACCACCTCTACAGTTGGAGATTTGCAGCAGTGAACTTGAGCTGCTCATTTAAAATGATGTCACAGATTTGGCGGGTGTGTGTGTGTGTGTGGGGGGGGGGGGGGGGGGCTTTAAATTCCTGCAGCAGCTCAGACAGTATTGTGTGAAGGACATGGCACAAATCCAAGCTTCGTTTTCTAATTTAGATTCTGGAAAAGAATCATGCTGAGTGTTAGAGAAGGCCCTCCGTAATAATGAGGTGGACTGGGATGGGTGAGCTTTGTTGTAGCTTTGCTAATGTAGTCCTGACTGACTTCAGTCAGTCAGGACTACATTAGCATACACATACAGGCCCTACCATGAAGCAAGAGAGTAGAAGACAGGTGGTATGGGCCTGCTGTGGGAGAAATGCTGAATACATTCAGCTCAGTGAATGGTTGCAGATGTACAACGGTAAAAAAAATCCCAAAACTTTGTAGGAAAGTATTTTTTCAGCATAAGTTGGAGCCATTGTGTCGTTATGTAAAGGAGAAATCAGGAGACGCTTCGTCTAAACACGAGCTAAAATGAGCCAAACAGTGAAAAGCTAAATAAATGGAAAAAGTGGTTAAAAGCTTGAAGCTAAAGCCTTAAACAAGAAAAACAGTAGCTAAATGTAACAGTTACCCACAACAAATAGCTTACATAAGCAAAATAGTAGTTTAACCCTTTAGGTTTAAGCTACTATTCAGCAAACCAGTAGCTACAAGCTAAAACATGCAAAAACATAGCAATACAGAAGCCATAACTACAATTAGCAAGAAAGTAATTAAAGCAACAAAATAAAATAAAACTATCAAAACAGTAGCTAAAAGCCAAAGGGAACTTAGGAGGACAAACATAGTGTATGCATGCTTCAGTGGATTCAAAGGAACAATGATTTTTATGGGACAATCAATCAACCTTTATTTAGACAGGTAATTCCCATTGAGCCTCGAGGACTCATTTACAAGAGAGACCTGATTTAACAAAGAAAGATGACAACAATGGACAACAGCAACAACAATAAACAGTTATAAAAAAGCATACTACAGTTTTTTTTTTTTTTTTTTTTTTAACAAATAGGATGGCTAAAAGGAAAAAGGTAACAAAACAAAAAACAGCTAGATTCCAAGACAAATGTAGAAAACTAACAACAGGAACATGTCTGCATTGGACCCTGCCAGGTGTCCAACAGATTCTTAAAGACACTTAGAGAGGTCAAAGGTCGAGAGCTTCAAATCTTTTTGTAAGATGTTCCAGGAAACAGGAGCAGAGTAGGAGAAGGCCCTTTTGCCTAGTTCAGTCCTCACTGAGGGAACACTGCAGGTAATGATGTCCTGAGAGCGCACTCCGTAGCTGCACTCACGCAGAGACATGTAGGAGGAGATGTATGAAGGCAGCAGACCAAGAAGTGATTTAAAGATGAAAATGTACCAGTGAGAGAGTCTGCGTGAAGTTAATGATGTCCAGTTAACCAGTGAATACTGGGTGCAGTGGTGGGTACGATAATCACAGCCAGTTATGAATCTTAGTGCACCATGATAGACAGCATCCAACATCTGCAGCATCCAACATCTGCAGGGTTCTTGTAGGAGCGTTCATGTAAATAATGTCACCATAATCAATGGAGGGAAGGAAAGTCACAGATACAAGGCGTTTCCTAACATTCAGGGTTAGACAGGATCTGTTTCTGAAAAAGAAACCCAGTTTAACTTCCAGTTTCTTTACCAAGTTTTCCACATGGAGCTTAAAAGAAAGATGTTAGTCGACCAAGATACCCAAATATTTATAGGAATCAACAAACTCAATGGGGACACCATTTGAGGATAAAATCGGAGGAAGAACTGCTGGGACCAACTTTGACAAAAAAAAAGCATCCCTTTGGTTTTGTCGGCATTTAGGACAAGTTTGAGGTGGAACAAATCAGTCTGGATGATGTTGAATGCAGATTTCAAAAGCTGGAAAGCCTTAGCAACTGTTTTAGCTCGACAATAAACAACTGTGTCATCAGCATAGAAATGTACGGATGCATTAGGGATGTTTTTACCTACATTATGTATGTAGATTGTAAAGAGGGTGGGTCCTAAGACTGAGCCTTGTGGTACACCATTGTTGACTGTTAAATAACTGAAGGAAGTACCATTATGTTGAACACATTGCCTCCGGTCTGAAAGATAGTTAGAGAACCAACCAATGGACTGACGGGATCTCAGTGTGGTTCTAAGAGGAAATATTTATAAGTAAAAGTAACTTTTTAGAAGTAAATACCGTCCAAACACCAAACGGAATAGAACCCACCTATTAAATGTTACATTAACATTAAATATGTAGAAGTAGTCACACAAACGCACAAAAAAACTATAAACAGGAAAACATTAAAGTGAACACTGACACAAGATTCACACAAATATATATATAGTGTATTTATGCTGCTTACATTTTGACCATCTTTCCCCTTCCCTGGTGGTCCAGGAGCTCCAATCAAACCAGGCTCTCCTGGCGAACCTTGAGGACCAGATTGTCCTGGTTTTCCCAGCTCACCCTAAAGGAGACGGTTGGAAAAAGGCAGAGATTCAGGGTTACAGAGTCTAAAGTGGACAACAGGGACTGAAGCTGATGAGGTACAGTTCTATACAGTTTCAAAAACAACAACATAAATAAAAAAGAAGAAAAATGCACAAAGCTCCAACATCCATGGCATTTTTTCTTTTTAATTTTGAAAAATTAATCAAAATTTGGGATTTCTTTTTGTATTAATTTAAGATAATAAATTCATGTATAGATTTTATGAGAAGTGTAATAAAAATCACGATTAAAAGACACATTAAGGCTGCAGCTATAGACTCATTAAGCTCACCATGGTAACCACTCGTCTGTCTGTCACTCCCTGACAGGCCTGAAACAAGCAGCCGCTGAGTGAAAACGTTGTCATATTTCAAAGAATGTCTGAACGGCAAGTATCACAGGTGGCCAGTTGTCACGTGCACATGAAGGAAAGTTAAACAGAGCCTTCATTTCCAAATGTAAAGAGAACAATTTGAGGCCGACTACAATGAAAGTCAGTGGGAGTTTGTGTCTGGGCACTTTACTACGGTGGCCATGAGGTGTATATGAACAACATTTGAAAAAACGGAATTGCATTTGAAAAACAAACAAACAAACAAACAAACAAAAAAAAACAGAATTACATCTAGCCCAAGCGGAAGTGGTCAAAATGGAAGTGGCCAGAATCACATAAGAAAAAAATGGAATTACATTTGTAAAAACTTAATTACATTAAGCAAAACAGGAAATGGTGGGGTTTTTTTTTTTTCAAACTTTATTAACAGTATAAATGGTTTAATGTAATTCTGTTTTTTCAAATGTTGTTCATTTACACCTCACGGCCACCGTACTTTACACTCTGAGGAAGCTTGAAAGGAAACACTGAGGTTTGTAGCAGTCTAAGACACAGTGGGTGAAAAAAGACAATAACTCGTTTCATTGGTAAAAGAAGGGGTAGACAATATATTTTATGTATTAACTGTGAAAGAAGAGCGAAGAGCTGTTCAATTCAGCTGTTGCTGAGCTGGAGACGAACTCCCTCATTGACAGATTAGTGCATCCTGAATGCACAAAGGAGCGTTACCTCAGGTCCTTCCTCCCTGTTAAAATTTACACCATCACTGCTCCCAACAAACTCAATATTAATATTAAATACATGCCGACCTCTGCTAAAACACACACTCTGCCTGTACTAGTGTACTGTCAATAGTCTGCCATTCTCCATGTTCCAACACATACTGAACATTATTATTTATATTGTTTATCTTATTTCTTTATATATAGTTTTTAACATTTTAGGAACTTTTTGTGTGAATCTTTTAATCTGTTGCTGCTGTTACACTTGAATTTCCCATCTGTGGGACAATAAAGGCTGCTTCTATTCTATTCTATTCTATTCTATTCTATTCTATTCTATTCTATTCTATTCTATTCTATTCTATTCTATTCTATTCTAAGACTGTGGGAATAAAGTGTTTGTGAAATACTTAGTCAAGTTCAGACAGCTCTGAAGTCAGTGTGTGAAAACAAAAAAGTCTCTGTTTTGCTGAAATCTCTCTAGTTGATCAATGAGGTCTTGCTATGAGTTTGATGCCAATAGTTATGCACAGTGTGTGATGTTTCTGCCTCTGACACTGTTGGTCCATGCTCAGATTGAACCACAGCACATTTTAGCTCAATATTTTTACAGTTGCCTGAGTTATAGTGATTTTTGTGCAGGGTAACTGCAACAAGCTCTGGTGGCCATCTTGAATGGGTTGAGTCCAAACATTAATCAGTTGACGATGTACATGCAGTTACTTTCTGAGAGTTACATTAAAATCTCTTGAGGGATTTTAGATATTCTGCAAAAGCAACTGGCCAATGAGCACACACACACATACACATCCATAAATCTGTTTAGCTGTCAAATTCAGAGTTCTGACCTTGTCTCCTCTCTGCCCAGCTGGACCAGGAGGTCCAATGATCCCTGGTATTCCCTGGAAAACAGACGACTGGTGGTTTCACTCTGAAACTATCAACCACACTCAACAGAGAATGCCAGTAAATGCTAACAGGCTAACAGGCATTGAGTTTAAATATAAATAAAGACTTACCACACTTCCAGGTAAACCTGCGGCCCCCTGAGGACCCGGAGCACCCGGTGGACCCTGATAGAAACAGTTTGATTAGTACAGTTCACCTTCCCTCCTGATTTAAGATTGTGAATCTGATCAAAGCCAGTTACTTACCGGATCCCCAACTCGACCCGTCTCCCCGTTGAGGCCCGTGTCACCCTTTGTACCCTGGAACCAAAACATCCAGTCAAAAACATTTCACTTTAAACACCTGAACAGGAGAAACGGTCATTTTGTGAGATCCTCACAGGTGGTCCTGGAGGTCCTTTAAAACCTTGTTCACCAGGTAACCCTTTTGGACCCTGTAGAGATGACACAGAAAGTGTAGATAGCTGACATTAATCAATGTCACTGAATTCTTTAGAACATTTTTTGGGTTGAGGACTTCAGAGCTGAGCCAAGAACTCTGCTGCCATCTGGTGGATCTGTGAGTAAACTGCACATCATCCCACTGAGCTCTGAGGACAAAAATGACATTAAGAACCGTTTACCATGTCTCCTGGGTTTCCTTGGTCCCCCTTCTCTCCCTTCTCTCCTGGTTTCCCCTGAAGAAAACAAAATGGATTAAAGACTTTGACAACAAATGTATTGCTTGCCCCTTTTCATGCCAGCTTTTTACCCCATAATCTTCTTCCTATATTGAAAATGACATTTACCTCCATTTTGGTCAACCCTTGAAAATATCATTTCATACAACCTCATGTGATGTTGCAATGTCTGTGTGAGCCCCTGGAGTGTGTGTTGTGAACTACTCTCAGCTACTACCACACACTCTTAGCTCCATGTTTGTAAGATTCATTGACGTTTAGCCATTTGAGTGCTGGCTAGGGTCACTGAGTCATCTGCATTTGGGTTGACTCTGAAAATGAAGAAATTGTAAACATCCACCTAATAATTACTTTCTGACAGTTTCAGTAAATTTCATATAATGGTTCATGAAATATTTTGCTAACAGACAGACAGGATCAACACCATCAGTGAATGTCACTGTTTTAAGTAAAAACGCAGCACACTGTGCAGAGGTTGTTAGGGAGGATGCTCAACTGACAAATCAAATGTGATCTTAACTGAGACACTGAGTTATAGCCAGTAGTTGACTGACAGCCAGCTTAACTCGAAGTTAAAGGTTGTAGATGTGCATCCAATGACTACTTTCTGAAAGAGTCATTAAAATATGGCTGCTGGTTTGGGAGATATTTTCCTAACAGAAAAGGTGAATTGCTCTGAACAGCGTTGGGAAAAGTTTTTAAAACAAAGCTGCTGCAATCATTTAGTGCTCAGAATAGATACTGAGGATGTGTCTCAGCTACAACAAAGTTTACTTCACCATCTGTAAAACTGTCTGATTCATGCATTTTTGTGTTCACTAAGGTTGCTTAGCTGTGGCAGCCATTTTGAATGATGTCTATTAGTTAAACAGTAGTAGAGGTAGAGGCAGAAATGAAGATGTTGAGGTTCTCCTTAGGAGCGACAAGGATGGAGAAGATCAGGAATGAGATGATCAGAGGTACAGCACAGGTTGAACAACTGGGAGATAAAGTTAGAGAGGACACACTGAGATGGTTTGGACATGTCCAGAGGAGGGACAGTGGTTTGGACATGTCCAGCGGAGGGACAGTGGTTTGGACATGTCCAGAGGAGGGACAGTGGTTTGGACATGTCCAGAGGAGGGACAGTGGTTTGGACATGTCCAGAGGAGGGACAGTGGTTTGGACATGTCCAACAGAGGGACAGTGGTTTGGACATGTCCAGAAGAGGGACAGTGGTTTGGACATGTCCAACAGAGGGACAGTGGTTTGGACAAGTCCAGCAGAGGGACAGTGGTTTGGACATGTCCAGCAGAGGGACAGTGGTTTGGACATGTCCAGAGGAGGGACAGTGGTTTGGA